TACCTGCAAAGAAGGCCAGCCCAAAAACTACCCTCAAGTGTGGAGCGTCGCAAATAAAGGGAACAGCAGCGCAATGTGTAACTTCTAGAACCTAGCGCCTCCGGGGGCCAGCAACTGTTTGTGTGTGTGGGATTGTGTGATGACGAAGGCAGCGAATGAATGATGTTTTGCACGAAGCGTTTTGAAGGGTCGTCTTGTAGGTTGATTAGGTTGAAAGCCAAGGCAAGGTGGCTTGTCAGTTCTGGAATCATTCAGCAGAATCGGACAATGCTTATGTGGGTGCTAGACTTAATCCATGGAAGTGGCAACATGTTTACGGTGGCCATGAGACTGAAATCGTACTTTTTTGGCAAAAGCCGATAGGGGTCAACCCTCAACCGATTCCCTCCAAACCTCGCATGACCGATAAACGCACATCCAATAGTCTCTTTGCTATGACAGAGATCCATTCCGGCGCCCGAAATGTTTATCTTTCTTAGAACACCAGACCCTGGCCGCTGAAATTATAAAAGTCGAAAAGCCGGACACCTTCAATGCTTGTTCTTGCCCCATTCATTGCCCTCCTTTCTCTACTGGCTTTTCGCAGGACACCTCTGGTTCAGATGTGTGATGTGTTGCAAATTCACGTGGTATCCACCCATCAGTGATCTCCGCTGGGTCTGACAGCCGTTTTCCTGGGTACCAGCTACGCTCCAGCCACTCCAGCTTGGCAGGCAGTGCTTCAGTGCAACCTCTGCCTCAGCTTCCAGAGGCCTGGACAGATGGAGCATTCAACTGCTGAGTGCAGTTGGCAACGTGCTATAAAGTTGCATAAAACCCCAAATCTCAAAGACCCTCACGTGCCGAATGCAATTCCCTGCTGACAAGGCGCCTCTGCGTGAAGAAGCCGACCGCGTGTCCATGCATGAGACGGACTTGGATGGAGGCGGGGCCAATGGTGTCGGTCGATTTCCTTCACCATGCCTCCTGCGCTGAAGTCTAGTAGGGATTCGTGCGTTCAATTATGTTCAACCACCTGACCATCTTGCAAGCAATCATATTGAGCTCTTTCGGCTTTGGTCCTCACAAATGTGGGATTCACTGCGGGTGGGGCGTGGAGCTCATGCAGAAGTCGCGCTGCTTCTATGAATTCGTCTAAAGAGATGCCAAGCACGCAGGCGACGGAACATCCACAGCCAGTGAGACACCAGTGGACAAGGTGCACAGGCTTCATTAATTATTAGGAGGAAACGATGTGGGTGATGCGCTGGAGCCAGCAGTTCGACTCGTCCTGTGATGTTGCCAGGAAAGCTAGATATGCTGAGGCTTCCAAATAGGTATGCCATGCTAAAAGTAAGGTGCATCTCCATGCCAACCCTGTGCATTCCAACAGCACTGACCAGCACCAGCCACAACGGCTTGCAGTACCCTGACATGCCATAACCACAAGACGTTTGCAGCCCTGACACATTTGGAACCAAAGACACCTTGAGGCTGTTCTTGGCGATGATCGTTATCTGTCTGAGCTGAACCTGAAGCTTGCGCCAGCCTCTCAGTGTCAACATGTCGCAGGAAGGTTGAAAAATGCGCCACTCAAAAGTCAGCTGGCAACATGAGTGTAGCCCTGCTTGTCAGTGCCACAGGTCGATGCAACAGGCGACGAGCGCTTTAGCTTGTGACTGATGGGGTGGCATCGGAAGTGGTTCTCCAAGCTGGGCAAATCTTTGCCCAAGCGGCGAGCTGCCGATGCGGGAATTCCAGCACCCACTGCGGCAGCGACAAAGTTAAATCTCGAAAGTGGCTCCGTAGGTCTTGGCTAAATATGACATGCCCGTAAAATTACGGCATACTGCCAGGCCATCATGTGTTAACTAAAGCCGGTTCTTTCACTTCAGCAGCTCTTGTTTCACTTAAAGGAACGCAAGGGCACCTCCCCTCTGAAGGAGGGTGTCGGAGCTGGTCCCGAGGCCATGATTCCAGCAGACTCAATTGACTCGACTTAATGCTCCAAAGGAAGAATCCGTGTAATGTCATCTGAGTGGGCAAGTGCAATTGCTGATAATTGCTTGCAAGCTGCGCTTGGATGACCTTTCGTGCCCCTACCTTCGGACCAGGCCCGATAGTGTGCAACGCCGATCAGGTGAGCGCTATATGCTCTAAGGCTGTCGGCAATGGAAACATCTTGCGACGATTCATGTTCACAACGAGTGCTGGCATCTTCATGAGATAAGTGCTGCATTAGGCCGCCAGCCTGCCTTCAAGCCACGTAACACTCCGGACTCAAGGACACAGCCCGGACCCAGAACTTTCAGAGACCAAACCATGCATTAGGGCATGACATCGGCATCATGATGCATCCAATCATATTTATCCAAGCCAAGACTACAGGAAGGAAGCAGCCCATCACCTTCCCTTGGTCCATGCAGAAACTACACTAGCTGTTGCGAGCAGCTTGTGGCCATGCCTGTTGTCCCCAAGAAGCGGCTTGGGCCTCAGGGAAAGGCATGCAAATGACATCCTGCAGTTGCGTTGCATGAGATGGCCGCCCCTCAGCGGAGTATAAAAGAGAGGTTTGGGAAAGCAAAAAGCGATCAACTTGGCTACATGGAGCCTACCCCATACGAACCAAACTGACCGCGGAAGAACATTCACATCACATCATCCTTCTGCTGCAGCTGGCGGGCAGCTACTGCCTGCCACACCAGAAAGAAACAGAGCGAGGTGACTCCCAGAAACGTCCCAGCTCAATATAGAGAAAAATGCAAGAAAGAATAAGAATGCGGCTGGAGCAGCTGAGACGCTGTATGCAATGTTCTATTGTTTTTCCTGCTGTGGGGGAGACTATGCACCAGGAAGCCAAACTGTAACAACGTCTAGTATGCCAAACTCTGGCAAAGCGAAGGGTAAGATGCAAAAGTGAGAGCTCAATGCAGTGAACCGGTGTTTCCCATAGGATTGTGTGACAGCTTTCTTTTGACTTCGGAGAGCCCAGCAGTTCAGTCGGATTAGTGACTTATGTGACAAAGCTCCAATGAATGCATAAATGCCGGTGTTTGCATCGAACAGTCTACCCCAGACTGATGCTTCCCAGCGTGGTGTTGCTTGACACAGGATTACGCAGTACTTCGCGAGACGGAGGCAAGAAGTGGATCTCAGCTTCATGTTGTCGTGAGAATCTTTGCTGGTTCCAACCCTCCTATTCAGCAGTCTCTCCAACAGCTGTTAGCTTACCAGCGCGGCGTACGACCTGGAAAGATCTCACGACAGCGCTGAGCTCCTCAAAGCGCAGCTGTGTTCATGATGACTGCGGAAGCAAGAATCAACCACTATGCAGAGAAGAGGTTGCAGGGTCGCATACAGCGTGATTTGAGCATTTGAGTTGCCCGGACTTTGTCTAGCTGAAGAGCTGCGCACCACACTCCATACTCTACTTGATGCATCATTGCATGTCTGCTGCAGACTCGGAAGGCGCTTGATGTTCTATATGGATCACTTCCGGTTCCAGTACAAGTTCCGACGAGAGCATTTTGATCGACGAAAGTATCAGGATCACCACCATCTTTAAGCTTCATAACCCTATGATCAGTCGAGCCAGGAGTCCAGGACCTGCAAAAGCTTGACCATGGTGCAGCAGATCATGTGTGACAGTGCAAGCTGGCTCCTACTTGTACCCAGACACTATGGTTATCTAGGGTTGCATGTCTTGTAGGCAACCATCCATCTGGCCAGGAGCCCATGTACGTCGAAAACTACACGACGCCAGAGTTCAGCAGAGCTTGCTCGTTTTGACAGAGTCGACTTTCGAACTCGCAGTGGCTTCTGGCAGCTTGAAGCATCAATACGCATCCAGCTTTCCTGCTGCTGCACATTGATAGGTGCAGTCTTGCAGTTCATGCCTCTGCCAGGATTTCCCGGATTTTGGCCGGGCAAGTTCGGGTATCACCAAACAACGGTCAGGAGCCCTGACTGTCAGGCAGCATAGGAGACATGCTTGTGCTTGAAGCGAGTCCAAGAGCATTTCATCAGGCTGGCCCAGAGCAGACGCAGCTGCTACCTCCCAATGCCTTGCAAGGTTCTGCAAGCATGAGATTGAACAGCAGTTTCAGTGACAATCTATAGTATACAGAACAGTTTCAGCAATTTTGAACCCTACGTGTAGGCGAAGAGAGCAGCGCGCCAAGAGGGCCAGCCATCATGCCAGCTGCACGACGCGGGCCACGCGGCATCGAGTGAGGCAATCTTTGCAGATAACTCCTAGCTATCGGCAACAGTTCAGACGCCACCCAAGCAATCACCATAAACCTAAAGAACAAAGAAGTTTCACACCCAGAACATCCACGCTCCCATGCTGGAAAAGAGGTACGAGTGGCTGGCTTTACCAGCAGATACCAGCAGCAATAGCAGCAACAACTACAACAAATCCATGGCTGCTGAAGTGGCACATTGGCAAGAAGCAAGCAGCTCTAGATTCAGTGTGACTCAGACGAAGCTCATGGTTGCCAGCTCTTGCGTTTGCATTCGCCTTCATGTGCAATGTGCTGCAGCTGGTGCTGTGTGAAGCAGCCATGATATGTCATGTCATGAGTCATGACCCTGGCAGGAAAGACCCCGCAGCCCCAATCCTTTCAACTCCAGCAGCTCCAGTTGTGTGCATGGCCATAGGTATCTGTGGGCCAGTCATTCCTTGCATGTGGAGCCGAGCCTTACTGATCAGACTTTGATTCCGTCGGAGAATTCCTTTGATTTTCGCATGGCGTGAGCAATCTTCCAGCCCGGTTGAGGCGGGAGATGTTCAATTCTGTGCCTCTGAATCAGCTTCCGTCATGACAGATCATAGGGGTCGGACCCGGTAAAATTAAATCTATATGGGCTTGAGCCTCAAACTGGATTTTCATCAATTCTTCTTCAAGGATTTGTTTTCGAGGCCCTGTGGCTGCTTGCAGGAATTTATTTCGTGTATGTTGTTGTTTCGGTGGACAGGTGAACCACGGAAATCTTATGTTAGTAGATGGTCAGTTTAGGGGTAAGGCGGACAGGATTTATTTTAAACTTGCTGGGCAGCTTCCCACTACGATAGTGGGAGGCGAGGGTTTCGACGACAAAGGCGACAAAGTGTGAGCCTCCCACCGAGATAGTGGGGCGTGGGCTGGCGACAACAGCGCTTGAGAAGGCATGCCAAAATTTTGGGTTTGCGGCTTAGACCCAAGGATTTTATTTCAGGTCCACGTCAAGGTCCCATGAGCACTCAAAATCGGTGATTCCTGAGGCCCCAACGCTCTTGACATGTGTTCTCGCCCCTCGTGCCCCAACAATTTGTGCGGATAACATCCTGGGATAACTCCCCATACCTGTCCAGCCCCTCTCAGATCTCCACGATTCTCCAAGTCAAAGAGAGGTCCAACATAATAAGCACGTGCATCTCGACTGGCAGCGGGTGTGGAAGGCAGGGATGATAAAGCTTAAGTTGGTTCATCAATTCCAGGTGAGCAGCGCTTTTTAGGTATGCAGGGCAATGATGAAATTGATACTGCAAGAGTGCTCCTGTAGCCTCTGGCCTGCAGGGCCTAGCTCCGCCTATCGGTAGTCTCGTCGCGTAGTTTGCGTGATCTGCGTAGCCTGTGTGTTGTGTAAGCAGGACGAGGTTCGTGCTGCGTATGATTGTCTATAGCCCAAGAGTGTTGTGTAGTCCGCGTAGGCACCACGCTGACGAGACCGTGTTCGCATAGTCCGTTGTGCAGGGAAAACAGCAATCCGCGTAGTTTGCATCTGCTTCTGTTTCTTACTTAGAAGCGAGGCCATAGGCCAGAGGCTGCTGGGAATCCTGGAAGTTTTTTGTGGACCTTATGTAACTTGGCCCACGCAGGCGCTTACGTTGCCAGCTCTTGAATCCCCCGCAAAACACCTTGCACCTACAAATTCAGATCCTAAAGTCCAAGTGGAGGTTGCCCCATGCGCTGGAGACGCCATGTCCATGGATTTGCAAGCCAATCCGGTCACCTGCTCGGCTCTGTAGAGTTGCACAGTGCCCCAACAAAGCCAGCTGTGTGGCCTAACTTGCTGGAGCCTAGTCTGACATGCTCACCCCCCAGAAGGATGGCTTGTTGTGCGGACGCAGCCATAGCGCCCTGCTAGAACACCTTCATCGGCTGCGAAGCAACTAATTCTACTTCACGCTACCTCTTCCTTGACATGTAGGTCAATGAGATCCTGTACGTGAGCTTCAACCAGGCCACACCTGCACAAAGTTAAATCTCGCAGTGTTTTTGCTTGACGCGGATTTCTTCTGAGTCCTGGCAGGACTTCACTTGCTTTGTTTGCGGAACAGAGAGCGGGTTCCGCGTCTACAGTACGGAGCGGGTCTGCAACATCTGTATCCATTTGTGAAACAGCAGCAGGCGTGTGCAAGTACGGAAGTTGCCACCAGTTTGAATCTTTTTGGCGTTGTTGTCTGTGGTGCATAGATCTTGCAAGGACCCTTTCCACCTCACTTTCCGAAGAGATTTCGAGGAGCTCGTTGAGCTGACTGAAGTTTCATAATCTTTTTAGACCCGGCTTGCTTTTCTATTGGAGTCCAAGTGACCTGCAGGATGGCAGTGGCTTAGGGGTCATTTGCATGCTGGCGGCTTGGCGTTGCTTAGAGCTTCACCTGCCAGGGCGTCCACAGATTGTGGAGTTGTCGAGCCTAGAAACGGCAGGTTGATTGACATAACATGAGCTTGCAACCGATTTATTCAATCTTGTTTGATTCTGCTTGAAGCCGTCTGTGTGAACCTACACACGCGGGCAACAACTGCACGAGAAGCCTTGTGACACACTGTGCCAGTTTCGCACGAACATCTTGGCCTTCTCTGGCGGCGGGAAAAATCCGCGATTCCAACCCCACAAGGCAGCGAGGCTTGTTGCAATCCGAGCCTTGCCGAAGGGGCTTTGATCACTTAGAATTGATCACAAGGTGAGAGTCGAGAGCACCCCATCAGCTTTGCAACCCCTTGGCAACAGGTAGTTCTGTGGGATGACCGGCACACCCGGGTCATGGCCGAGCTGAGCTTCAAAACAACGGTGAAGTCTGTGAGGCATGCGCTTTCCGGATTGTGTCATGTCCTTGTTTGAGAGATGTTGGTCAATTTAAATGGCCAACCTTGTTTGCCCACTGGTACCTGTCTTAATTGGCTGTAGTGCCATAGCTCCATAGCTTTCGCATCCCGATGTCCCTTGTAGCAGCCTAGCTCCGCACAATCTGGGCGTGATGAGTCCCAAAAAGTCTCGTAGAAATCTGTCATTTGAGCCTGACAGGCTACGCCGAGACCTGGTGGTTGTGGCTACCCTTAACAAGGCTGGCCGTGACATGCATTTGGTGGCAAGTATCGGCTGTGCAAACTTGAGCGAGGATGATGAAGCCAATCCCCGGGCAACCCAATCGATTCCCCCGCAGTCAGTCTTAAGTCCCTTGCGCGCAAAGATCGACTCGAAATCTTCTCAATCTTCAATTCAAGACACAATCAATGCCACATGTGTCAGTATATGCGATTGGCATATGGCATCTGCGTCTGGTCTACGCGGACAGACTTCCGCTAGAGCCGCTAGAGTCGTGTCAACCAAAGGATGCTGCAGACAGGGTCGGGTCCAACAGCTGCAGGTGTGGGTTTACGGCTTCAAGACTTTGAGTCTCATGGACTCCATCGAGACAACCGACAACCCCAAGGGCCGCGGACCCTGATATGAGAGCTTCATAGGTAGAGGCAGAAGGCAGATGCAGGCATCATGGAGCGCATTATGGCAACTTTGCAAAAGCTGAAGGAAGCAGCTTTGCACGAAGGTTTGTGCTACCTATCCTCGGGAGATCGCATCGTGTTGGTGTGCCCTGGCAGACAGCAGGCCCGGAACGACCTGAGGCCCAGATTAAGCTTGGAGCCTCACAAGTCTCACCAATACAAGCGCCCCAATCTCTCAAGTCTACCTGTCACCTTGCTGGTTTCTCCCAGCAGCATTTGCGAGCTCCTGGGCAGTGCTCAGTGCGTTTAGTTCCGTGTCAGGGCAGCGCCCTCATTGTGTTCTACCCAGAGAATTATGGAGACCCTTCAGTCTGAGACTTAGAAGTTGCTCCTCCATTATGCTATATTATGCTTCACCTCGGGGCTTAGCCCTTTACTGGGAAGCCGTGCGTGCTTTGGGGCCCTGCAGCACTGCATAGCCCCGCACTGAGGCTCCAGGGGAGAGGGAGCGGACCATCATCAAGGCTGCTCACGAGACTTGACAGATGTCAGCGCATGCAACATACTGTAGGAAATGGGCTGCTTCATCTGGCGAAAACAACATGTATGCGCCGGCGCTCTGTCGGGCAGCATATCCAAATTTCCTATGTGGCTTGCCCTCCCGGATCTTTGGGCTTGCCAGTTTTGAGAACAGAGCGCCTCAAACGAGTAGTTTCTTGTGCTTCGCCCACTCTTTTTCCATGCGCGCTTTCTGGGTGCGAACTGCTGCTTTTGCCTCTGTAGACTGGATGGATCTCGGGATCTCGTGTTAGCCCTCACTTTGGACGGAATTGCCATTCTCGGGTGGAGTGCCCGCACACTTTGGCTCCATGGCAGTGTTTGCGTGGAGCCTCTTCTCAATTGGGCTGCCAATCGCACTATGGCAACACCTGGGCGAACTTCTAGAATGATCTTAGATCGCCCTTGGAGCGATTCAGAGAGTTTCAACAGTTCAGTGTTCTTGAGGTGCTTGTGGACCACGGTTTAGGACAATTTGTCTAGACTCAGAGTCCTGCAGCTGAGGATTCGCCCATTGCTGCAATTGCTTTGGATGCTAGCTGCGCCACTTGCTCGCTTTCTGATGTGCTAGAGCAGGCACGCCTATGTGTAGCTCTCAATTCTCACGAGCGCCTAAGATGCCTCAGCGAGGCTGCACCGTTGGTAGCTGTACTATGTTGGGATGTACAGCGCCTGTAGTTGTAGCGTTCGATCCCTTCTGGGAGAGCAGTGGCGCTGCAGACCGACACTGGATGGTTTTTCATCAAGCAGAGAGAGTGCCAAGTCATTGTCAACATAGCAAAGTCAAGCAAACGCCAGACAGTCCCCAAAGTTCCGGTTTCTTTTTCTGGCTTGGAAGATCGGCAATCTGGCAATCTCCATTCACCTTGTAGTCATGCTCGGCAAAAGAAGCACACTGAAACACGAGTGGACCTAAATTGAACCTCGAACAAGCCCACCCCCCGCCCCCACGAACCGCTTGAATTCTGACTAGCTGAATCTAGCCATGGAATTCAAATTCAGCGAGAGTGGATAACACGCGCGTGTGAAGAGAAGCCTCCCACCTTTAGCCGGGCCTTCTGTTTTCTTCCTACGCCAGGTTCCTTGATTGCGACAGCGTCAGAGAAGGGAACGATAGTCCGCGTGCATGCCCGTGACCCAGCATTCAGTTTGGAAATGATTTGTGGGAGACGTCTTGAGCACGTATGAGCTTCGGGGCTGCTTGTAAGCACGACACCCGTTTGGCTTGTCTCGTGTGCGGAGCGAAATGCTCGGAAGATCTGGTAAGCACATCAGGTTTCGTGGTGCATGCGTTGCCGTATACAGATAATCTGCAGTCGAACGGCACCTGTCCTCAATACAGTCCCATGCCGCGTGAACCCATGCCTCTCATAGCCTCCTGATGCCAAGCGGAAACTCGTTCCCGCAGTTGACTTCGCATACGCGACACAGGAGCTGCAGCGTGAAGGAATGGCGCAGGTGCCTGCCCGGGAATGTGCTGCCATGACGCATCATGATGGACTTTCAGCAAATAGGTTTTCGTACATGTAGTGGGTGGATTCCTATAAATACACTGGATCTTGCTAGAGACTCCGCTGTATGAAGACTGACGATCCCAGAGGAGCTGCGAAGAGGCTTGGATAGAGCCGAGGCCGGGGTCCCCGGTTTGACGTTTTCCTCAGCTTGCGCAAGTTCTGGGTACGTATGCTAAGAGATTGCAGACGTTAAGTTTGTGGTTTTCTGCCACGTCAGCTCAGAGAAACATGTCTGAGGAGGTGGAAGGCTTTGAAACATCAGACATGACCGGAAATGCATGCTTGAAGCCATGCAATCGACTGGTATCCGCATCTTGTGCGCAGATCCACTCCCTCACTTTCTCTCCGTCAGGCACGAACACAGGTTCTTGGTTTCTCGTTTGGGGGCTGAGCTTCCTGGAGTGGAGGCTGCAGGTAAGGCTTTGATATGTTTGCATTTGGGTCACTGACTGTCCGCCATACAGAAGGCTCTTGTAGGTGTTGGTGCTGAAGCTGTGGAGAATGCACATTGGCACATATGCCTTTTGAGCAGATATTTGCAGCTTAGTTGTGAACCAGGCGAGTACTTGGCCGCCTCATCGGACAAAGGAACCGTACACATCTTTGCGATTCAGCGGCCAGGACATCTTGGGGTTCTTGGAATGCTGCGCGGTGAAGCCCGGTGATCTGTGATCTTCTGCTCACTGACAGCTGATTCGAACCTGCTCGCAGTCTATACCAGCATTCTCTTTCATCCTCCATTCAGGTACTAAGCCTGGGGCAAATTCAGTCGAAATCATCAATTTGTAGGCGGAAGTTCCGCTGGCTTTGGTTACAGCGCGGAGGCTCCCGCATACTTTATGCATGCTACCGCTGCATGATGTTGTGAGCAGAAGGGAACTTGCCTTCCATCCAAAGGTGAAGTTATTGCGGGAGTTTGGGGAGTCTTGCAGCTTTTGCCTAGCCTTTGAAGGCAACCGCAACCTCCAATGCCAAGTCGAGCCTACAGAGATTGCCACGGCCCAAGAGGCTTTGGGGTGCCGAGAGAGGCCTGGCCAAGAGTTTTCAGCTGGCAGTGTCGTTCACTCACTCTCTCTCACTTTTTCTCAAGTTCCTTGAGATCAACTCTGTCAAAGGTCCCGGGTTCTGCCCGTGGCGCCGGCAAAGTTGAGAACTCGCTGTCTTGGGGAGTCCCTCTAGGCCTTAGGCACGGGTACTTCAGCTGGCCCATGTGCCAAGCGTGGCCACCAGCGATGAATGTTCTACGTGGTACCTTCAGACATGTTAGGACATGGCAAGCACAGAAGGAGTTTGCTGCAGTCGATAATCTCGGAATGTTACAAGCCGTGTCCGGGCTGCGCACTCGCGACAGGCCTATTTCTCTTCAGAGTGGAGTCTGGCGCAGCCTGAAGCCAAGCGGTTGGTTTTTCTTGTGTCCTACCTCTGCCCTAAAAATGCGGCATTGCAACAAGGGTAGTAGAAACGAGAGTTACAGCCGCCCAGATCAGAAGCTGATTGGGAAAATCAATCTGGCCCGTGCTACAATGTCTTGTACTTGAGATTCTCTGCAGCTTCTGCTGCTTCATTTTCGTGATGAGAGATCTGTCGCTCCTTGACCTGAAGCCACCATTTGCAGCCAGGTTTCGTGTCCATGACTACCGCTACATTGCGGCATTTGGAGTGGATCCGCACACAGCACGGATCTCTGGATTGGGGTGGAGCAGATTAGGGAGTCGTCATCATTCGTGCTTGCCGGGCTGATTTTGGCAACCACACAATGAGCTGTGATGTACAGACCCGGTCAGTTCCCGTACTATCAAGTTCCTGATTCTAGGGATGTCATTCCGAAGGTCATCATCGTGTGCGCGAATGGGTCCTACTACAAGGCACGGGAAGTGCGTTGTTGGCTTTCACAGATCATCCTCATCATCATCCTCATCATCATCATCATGAGTCATAGTGTCATGGCCATCATGGGTTCCAGGATGCCATTCCTCATGGTGCCGTGAGCTCCACTAAACGAGCGATGGTTTTCTTAGGTATGTAAGGGCTATGACGGATGTGATACTGCAAGAGTGCTCACCTAGCCTCTGGCCTGTAGGGCGTTGTTGTGGCGTAGCTTCATGCAGGCAGTTGCAGGAGTTGCAGGCAAATAAGCAGCCTCGTCCGCGTAGTCTGCGGAGTCTGCATGTTTTGTAAGCAAGAAGACAGTAGCCAGAGTGTGTTCGCGTAGTCTGTTCTGCAGGGAAAACAGCAATCCGTGTAATTCGCGTAGGAATTCTATGCCATGCTAGTACAAGAAATACCTCAACCCAAAAATGGTGCTCAAATGCAAACCTTCACAAAGTGATCCACTCTGCATCCTGATGCCATGCTTTTGGGCAAGCAGCGCTTTGATCATTCGCAGTCATGGATCAAGCTGACTGACCCTGCTGGTAGCAGTCTTCAACCTGCCACTCCAAGCTTCCCTTCTCCACGGGCCCTGATTTGGAAAGGCTCGATTCGATCCCGTGAAGGGAGGCGAAATGGTTCGCGAGGACAAGCTTTGTTTGAGCATGTTTCTACTGACGATTGTTGGGCTTTCAGGAAGGCCAAGGTAAAACAATCTGCCGTACAGCCTTCAACTGGAACGAGGAGTACCACCAGTTCGATGACGCCTCGGCCACCGGCACCGGCACCGGCACCATCAAGGCACCCGAGCCTGAACCGCCAGAGCCCGAAGCAGAGCCGAGCCAGGCGCGGAAACCCGAAGCTTCTGCTTTTTTTGCTCGTTTTACACACCAAGGATAAAGGCAGTTTTGCTTCAAAGGCTCAATCGCAGCATACCGCAGCCATAGAAGACTTTTGCCTTACTGCCCTGGGCACTAAGCGGCCGCCCATGCCAGGCAGCGCAAGAGCTGAGCGCTTCGCGAGGCTGGCGTTGCCTTTGTTGCCGGGTAACAATGCTCGCGGCTCCCAGGCCGTTAGGTTAAGGTTTGCAGTGTTTTTGGGCCAGGCGCAGCTGAACTCAAAGCTGTAAGAGACTTTGTAAACGGTGCAAGCTGACACGCTCGGCTGCTAGCAAGCCCGCTTGTTTGAAATAAGTTTGCAATCGACACATCGACATACCCTCCTGTGGTCTGTGCTGAAGGTGCAGGGAGCGAATCTTGAGGCAAACTCTCGAGACCAGCGGCCAAGCTGTGCGAAACGCTACACATAGCTGCAGATACACAGTCAGCTACGCAGTCACCCTGCAACTCTACCAGCAACTGTCATGTATGAGAGCAAACCAACTTGATGATTTTCAGCGCAACTAGCTTGTACAGAAGAAGCTCGTCCGGAGCAGCCCGGCATGCAAAGCTTGCAAGCAACAGGCGCTCCGTTTGAGCGGAAGGAACAGCCTTCCTCAAAGTGCTGTTCGAATCTCGGGTGCGATTGGAGCCAGCTCAGAAGGCATGCGATGCTTCAGCTTGCTGGATGAAGCGGCGAGCGATGCGAGCGAAAAGGGTCGGAAGGATTCCAAAATTGGCTCGGAGATGGTCAGGTGCCAAGAACTCGCAAGCGGTTTGGGAGCGGCCCGAAACGTGGAAGCGGCATTGTACAGTTGCGAAGTAACCCCAATCGGGCAAGCGCTACTGCCTTCTCGCAGGTTCGTAATGCATGAAGAGCAGATGCCTTGGGTTCTATGTAGACGCCCCGTGCCGTAGCCTCCTGGAAGTGAAGCAGGGCTGATTGGGGGATGCGAATCCGCATGTGGAATGCGGCTGCCTGCTGGGGTTCTGAACGCCCTCCGGACAACCTCGCCCACTGGCGCGCCCACAAGTCGAGCAACTGGGCTGTGAAATCGGACACAGTCTCCCTTGCACTGGCTGTCCTTGCACAGGCTGAAACAAGGGAAGGCCGCAGGTAGTCTGCGCACTGGGGCCGCAGCTGCAGATTGGATGAAAACAGCAGGATTCAACAGGCATGGCAAACAAGCCAGAAGCCCAAGCCCTCGCACTTTGGATTTGAAGTATGGCCAGACGTGAACTTCGTGAAGTTTGGATCTAAACAAGATTTTCAACCAAAGTACTAGACCAGCTGGGCTGGCAAGCGGTTTTACCTGCCCTGGGCACATTGACGGGCGCCCTGGACGTCAGAGCAGCAACATTCTTGCAAGACTTCCCCTTGGCCTGAGTTCCATGCTTGCCAGAGAGACCAAAACCACAACCGCATGCTGGGAAGTTACTTGGCCCGTGACATGCCCTCGTGACCAACAACATGTAACAACGTGCTCAAAGCAAGCATCCCTTCAACCGAGTGTACACCAGTGCTGCTCCAAGTTGGGCGCTGCAGCGGATGTATCATGTTGTGTTGCATGCAACAGTGATGTCGAAGCCACTTGTTGCATGTCGTGCTGGATTGAGAGCGATGCATCATGGACCGGCAGTAACCACAGCGGAAAGATCAGAAAGCCCTTTCAAGACTTTGAGGAGAGTCGAGCTTGGCATTCCTTGACCCTACTTAATTTGACATGCTTCAGCTGGTGCCAGGCATGTTTGCACAGTTAAGCCTTGCGGCATGTAGCAATGTAGCGAAGATAGAGAAGCAGGAAGACATGTAAGATCCTATCGTGCAGCATGGTGGCGAGTCCGAGAGCCGAGGTGCGTCGCATCACAGTCACGGCATACCTGGTAAATTTGATGAGAACGGGCTGAACGGCTGAAGGCCAGACCTGAAGATTGGACGGCTGCCTTAGAAGAAATTCTCGAGGACCCATTTGGACAGCTGAGAGAAGATTTGAAGACGTGCTGCCAGCAGGAGATCCGCCTGTCGATCTTCAAGGCATTATCTCCAGATGTCACTATGTCGCGATGCAACAGTCGGAACCTGAGCCCAGGACTCTGCAACCGACCTGCTTGATGGCGACCCGCGGCTGCAGACCATCTTCGAGCGTTTCTCGGAGAAGCTGACGGCGCCTACCGAAGTCAAACAGTGAGATGTAAATGTAGCCGTGCAGTAAAGCACTGCAAGGAGATGTTTAGTGAGCAAGCTTAGCTTTGATCGTTCGTGATCCTGGCACTGGAAGGAACCACCTGGCGAGGGTGGCAAGGAGCTCTCCGAGGCCAAGCTTGCACAAAGGCGCGCGGCGACGCTGCAGCTAGCGTTCAAAATTAGAAAGGCAAATGTAGCCCTGTGCGGTTTTTGAGGCCAGCGTTTCAAAACGCTTCCTCTTCATTAAGGGGAGGTGCTAGTAGAGGGGGGTTCTAAAACGCAAATTGCCCCCCCTCCCAAAGTTGAGGGCGGGGCACTTAAGCACCACATTATTGTCACCCTCCGTTGCCACTTATGTTTCTGTCCCCCTGCATCCCCCTGCTACCTTTTCGTTGAGCTTGAGCCTTTGCGCATCTGCCTACTTGTAGTCATACGCTAGCAAGCCTTGCCGCAAAGCTCCGCAACATGGGCCTAAGTTTCTTGCCAGGCTTTGGACGAGGCCGGCAGCGCAAAAGACATGAGACGAATGAATCACGCGTGCTCATGCCTGCTGCCAGATGAGTCATTGCATAAGGGTCCGATCTTCCGCTTCACACAGGTCTGGAACCTGCAGCTGCAATTGGCTCGAAGTCGATTCCGAGCTCAACAGAAGCTTCAGACGCTAGATACATTCGTGGTATTATAAAGATGCCAATGTGTTCAAGTCACACTGCAGCACTGCAGCTTTTCCTGGCAAGATGGAAAGCGCAGTTCCCTTCATGAAGATTGGCCATGCAACGTTTGAATGAGCGGGGCGCACATGAACGAGAGCCCACCAAGCGAAAGACAACGCTGCCGATTAGTGTTCTGGGGTGGCAAGACGACTGTGAATTCACACGCATTCCTATGGTGTACATGTGCAAGTCCTCCGTTTTTGCCAGATGCACTAAGGTATGCTCGCGATGATCAGCTTTGCCAGGCAAATCCATCATGCTCTAAACTTGTGAAGCTAGTGAAGTGCTAGCCCCCCAAAGAGCGAATACACGTGTCGGCATGTTTCCCCTAATTTTGCCTCAGCGATCCTGAACTGGTTGTACTTTATGATAGGTCTGCTGCACCGAGGCCCCTGCAGAACAGCTGCAGCGCAAGATCAGCGCGCTAGAGGAGGTCAGATAAGGAGGCGCAAAGGCTGCAGTTGACCGCGACTCGCACTCGCCAGGAGAATCGACGCCTGGCGAACTGCCACGCCGGCATGCTTGGGCCAAAGCTATCTTTGTGGGCTTTACCGCTCCGACAGCCATGGCAGTCCTGACAAGTGCTGACAAGGAAGAAACGTCTGCAAAATCGTGTCCCGCTGATGCAGACACCTCATGAAACCGCAAAAGACAGAGCCCGACAGGTTTACGGATTTGTCCGATGCTAGTGCCGGTGACTTCCTTGGTCTGTTCTTGGTCTCTTGCTGCAAGAAACGGGCAGCCTGCAAAGAAGTAGTTGTGGGAATTCGCAGGAAACGTTGGCTCTCGTCATTTTTTTGTGGCAGTCTCGAGAGGAACTAGCGTGACGCGGCTTCCGAGCTACAGGAGCAGGAAATTCAAGAAAATGCTCTCATGTTTCTGTATTTGCTGAGCTACAAAGCAGACAAATTCAAATCCTTATTTGCAGAAAAGAGGGCACTACGAGCACACTGGAGGCTCTTCCTCCCAGTCCTCGTAACTACCCTTGTTCCGGATGCTTTCTGTGGCCCGCTGCACAAACAGAGGCCCTCGTAACTCACGGACGGCAAAGATTAAGATACTTTTACTTTCACTAGTTCGCGCCGAAACACATCACGTGCCAGGCATCTCGCAGATCAGAAGTTCGCAGCAGAGCATTGTAGAAGGTCCGGTCAGGGTCACAAAACCGTCCATGTCAGCACCGGTAAACAGCGACAAACAACGTCACCACAAGCTGTCATGTGCCATCGCAGGAGATTCTTCGCTGCCTGGAGGGTCGAACCGCCCTGTGCAGACTGTCCAGTACTGTCCGCAAGCCCGGACAGTCACCTGGCAGGAGCGGTGTGTCTGCCCATGGAGAACCACGGCGGGCCTTGCGTGTTCCTTGTCATAGAGACTGGTCTTGGTGACCACGAAGCTAGGTCTGAGGCTGCAGCTTCGAGCAGCAATGAAGCCGGAAGCTGAGGTCGAGTAAGGCGTGCCATGGCTTTGCCAAGGTTTGCAAGCCTCTGGAAGCTTGAGGTCCTCATGCCACCAGCGCCGCAGCTGCGCCCGCCTGGTCAGGAAAGAGCAAGTGCAGATGAGTCATTGTGAGCGCATGCGCATGTCTCAAATTCCGAAAGGCCGTGATGGGCACACCTTATGTGGCTGTGGACTCAGCTTCGGTTTGTACGCTCGCCGATGTTTTGCAGTGATTGGCGGCAACTCAACATTGGTTGACGGCGGCGTGGCTTTCCCTAATGGCTGAGGCCCGCGTGCGAGAATCAGGACACTTGCGTTTATGGCTCTGAGTGTGCATGGATGTGCATGTATCCTGTGGTGTGCAGAGCCCTCCACGAACCTGACACCTGTTGGCAGAGGAAAGCGGGGGAGGGAATAGATCTGACACTCCTTGACAAACAATGACCCCGTAGAGCTCCGACATGTTTGTTCATAACCGCTGACAAAACCAAAAAAGTTCACCCCTCTGAATTCAAGCAGACGAACACCAATTTCTGCAGCGCCNNCCAGAAATTCTGTTTTTTTTTCACAATCTCTGGTTAAATGGAATTCCGCGAGTTCCCACAGATTCAAAAGAGTCCTAATGTGAAGCATGCTTGGATCGAATTGAACACGAATTCCACCAATTCTTTTGGGCGGCTTGAATTTCATTCAAACCCTTATGCATACTTCAAGCAACTTCAAATGAAATTCCGCAGCTAGTTTTAATTCCCGGTGCAGCAAATTCACATATTGAAGTGGAACTCTAGACAAAAGCCGGGGCGGTCCTAAGGTTGTAGAGTAGAGTAAAGTTCCAACCCGATGTTCGGGGGTTCACAGACCCGCAAAACACAGAGGACCAAAGATTTTGGTCTGGGAGCACAAATCTCCCATCCACGACGAACGTGGGCAATCCTCACTCGGAGAACGTCCAAAGGCGACTTCCTGCTCATTTCACAAAGGTTTGCTGTCCTCCACCCCAACCACATTTTAACACCGTGAGACTGTAGCTTCCTGGCACAACGAAGTATTTGTCGAAGTTTTTTTGGCCCAGATGGGTTTCCCTTCAATCAATTGCAAATGGAAAAACTCTATAGCAACCATAACTACCACAGAAGTACGCCTGGTTTATGCAGATCATACGTTTACGATTGCAGATTTGCATTTCGAGATTAAATCAAATTCACATCCGGTAGTGCCACCACTATCCACTTTTGAGCTCCTTCTCCGCAAGAGCTGCCCAACTGCAGACAGTGACGTTCGAAGCATTTAAGCACGCATTCAACGACTGTCCTCATTCCAGTCTTATTCGCATATTGCATACCACCAGAACAGAAACACGCGTCTATATTAGCTGCGGCCTGGCAGGCTTTGGAGGCCGAGTTGGAACGGTGTGGTGTCCGCGGAAACAAATTAGCGGAGAATCTGCGTGCGCAAAGACCGCATACGTCAAGACAAGGAAGAGCTTGTTTTAGACCAGCCAGCTAGAAGAAACCGCGACTGAAGGATGTAAGTGGGATGGTTGGAAAGTTCTTCCTGCCAATTTCAAGCCGTCATGCGCCAAATTCAAGGAACCCTCGCAGCTGGCTATCTACAAAATATTCTGGAGCACAAGAAAAAAGGATATAGACCCCAAGCAACAACAACATCTGAGCTCCCCCTTGAAATGACACCCGTCAAGTTGATGATTGTCCTTTTACGGCCGCTTACCGCAAGCAACAAAACCAAAGATGGCTTAAATCAGACAATAGGTCAAACATTCTTCAGGCAGCGAATAGTTGTCTGGGAACCGGTTGCATGCATCAATCCTTTGAAAGCAATGGTAGCCTCACAATACCTACGATGACAGTGTAATGAGAGTTTAACTGCAGCAGCTGCAAATTTAAAAACAGAAATATCACTGGTTCATGGTTTTGAAAATGCATGCTTCTGGGCACGTTTACATCAATATTTCTGAGGAGCAAATCGATGCAGAAGTTTTGTCTGGGTGGAAGTGATAGAGTCATAGGGTCTTAGGTGTGCTATTGGGTGGCCAGCGGCTTGAATAAAAGCAGGAGGGTTGCAAAGGCCAGAAAATCCAGAGCTACATCCTGAAAGCAATGTCCCTCTTATGCGTTTCAAAAGTGCGCAGGCTTGGACTCCCGAGGAGGCAATCTTAGGTGGTCATCACACCTAATTTCATGCCGTCACTAAAAGAAGAAGCTGCTGGCCGAACCCAGGATTTAGCAGCTCCTTTGAGTCATGTTTGTTTCTTCTTGCCCACTTTGCGAGGGGCATTTGACATGTGAAGTCACCATCTGAATGAACCTTAAACCATCGTTCATCACATATCTCATCATGAAAGCTCCCCGGATGGAGCTTCGATTATTACCTCACGAAGTGAGCCTGGGATCCTGGTGGAGCGTGTGGGGGGCCAATCTTGTCTGGTTTGGTTTTTTGGCGGCCCTGCGCCACAGGCTGGATTTTCCGGCATTGGCTTGGAGGGCCTTTTTGGGCTAGATTCTTTGGGGTTATCTTGGGGGGCTCTTGGGGGCATCTTGCGGGGATCTTGGGAGTTGATTTTGGTCGCGTCCCGTCACCACTCCTGTCCATTATTGAGCTTTCCTCCCAGCCCGTGGCCTTCACGTACATATGTGTATATAACTGTATATACACTCTATAAGAAGTCCTGGTTGTGCGTGCAGGTTAGATATTGGGTAGCGACTTGTCATTCTTTTGCCATGGAAGGACCTGGACAGGGATCGCCAATGCCAGCTGGCCAAAAGTTGCCAAGCCCAGTGCAGGCCTGTGCAAGAACGGGGAAGCGAATCTAGCAGCAGGTTTGAGTTGTGCATGCTGTTAGACAAGCAAGCACAGAGCAACATTACTGCAGCAGATCCCGCTACAAAAGCGTCAGGCTGCCCCAGACTCGTCGCTGCAGCCCTGGCGTGACGTGTGAATTTCGCAACCTATTTGGCGGATTTTGGCGGGGTGTTCAATCCCAGGTCGCTGAACGCTAGCACGGCGAGCTGTGAGGCCGTGCCATCTGAACCGGCAGTGTATGCCGATGCGGTAAGGGGACCCAGCTGTCGGTGCTGCTATGGCACTTGGAGTCCCGAGACCACAAGAGGCAAGCACCGTGCAAGCCTCGCCGGCACTGAGCCATGCAGCAGCACAGGCAGGTGAGGCAAGGCCTGATGTGTTGAACATTTTGCTCCTGCAAGTCCTGCAAGGCCGAAGCAAAGGCTGCATTCTTGGAAGCCGCAGCGAAGCGGGGTAGTGGCTTTGCAGAGGTGGGGGCTCCTAAACCATTTTGAGCTGCAGAAGTGAGCCATGAGGTCTACAACGAGCTGCTAAGTTGCGCGTTGCAAGTCCTGGAGGCAGACTTCAACGGAGTTTCTTGCGGGCTTTGACGATTCAGTTGTTCAGGCACGCGCAAGTGCGGCTTCAATGGAAAAGGAGCGCAACAAGGCGACAATTCGATAAATCATCGTTTGCTTGGGCATGGGTAGCATCTACTTCTGGAACCTCAGTCAGGCTTCGACTGAAGCGCGCGAATTGCGAGCTTGTAATGCTCGCTTGGAGGAAGCTGTGTCCGTCCTGCAGGCATTCGGCACATTGTGTCAGAAGAGTTCAGTGACTTCTGGCATCTTGTGGCAAAGACCTTGAAAGGATCGCAACAAGGAGCTGTACATGCAGAAAGAATTTCAACGACTGGGAGCAAAGCTGGCAGCCAATGTCATCAGACTTTTGAACAGAGAACAGAAAGTCAGTCCAAGCTAAGGACTTCCTTTCAAAACCATCATCCCTGCTGTGACACTGCCTCTCGGCCTGCATTGTCTTCCAATGCAACTGCTTACAATGAGTGCAGATTGTAGACCTGTAAGGCCCTCTCGGTAAGCCCAGGCAAGGTATCGCTGCTCAGAAGCTTCTTAGCCATTCTTAGCATTTGATCTTCTCATGCAGGTCGTCAAAGCGTTTGGGCAGCGCCTCTGAGCCCAGCACCAGCAAGCCCTCGTGACCTTCGCCCGGGACCAGGCTGCTGGCCTCAAGCCAGGATACTTCAGATTACTTAGCGAGTCAGATGCAAGAAGCTGAAGGAAACCGCTTGCAGTTCAACTCTGCCTGCTGTCAATCGCTAAGGGGAAGCTGAGTTGGGCTTGCGTTTGCAGAGGCCGACAGCTATGCTCCTACGGTCCTACGACCTCAACCAGTGCTGTTTCTTGCCTACACCTCTTTTGCGGGCAAGCAGTAAAGCCCCCCTGTGAATAATTGGCGGAAGAGCCGGACCACTCCTAAAAATGCAGGCGCGAGCATGCCACTGCGCTGGTAGAGACTCCGGGTTGTGCGCATGAAAACCCGAACCAGAAATGGGGCCAGGCGAGTGCCAGCCCTACAAGCATCAACCGGAGTGCCATGCTCAGATCGCTCAGCTACTTTTGCTTAAAAATCCGAAGAACCGTGTTGATAGCTTGAAGGCATGTCCAGCATGCTCTCGTCACTTTGCTCTTCCTGGTTAGAGGAGAGTTAAAGACAGAGCTTGCAGCTCGTCCTCTGTACCACGGAGAGCTGACAGCTGCTGCAAAGGTTTGCCACGTGGCTCCTGTCATAGCGTCGCCGATGCAGCAAAGGCGACGCAATGATTCAAGTGCTGTGTGAAACATGGCGACTGACTGATGCATTTATGGGTTCGAGTCAGGCTGGCCTTGGCTGCCCGTCTTCCTCCTCAGGCTAAACCTGAGCTAGGCGTGCGAGGCAGCAAATACTTTGTGGCTTTTCCTGCAGGATCAGCAGACACAGGCTTTCCAGCAGGGTTGGCGCCTCTTTCACCAGCTGAGCAAAGAGAAGGAGGCGGCTGAGTTTCCGGGCGAAAGGGACATGGCCGCGTGGTCACCCATGCGAGGCCAGTTCATTGGATTGCTCAGCAAGGCTCTGCGAGCTTTGAGAGGGCCTTGAATTGCCTTGCTGCGCAGTCAAGACAAGTGAGTCTCAGGCAGCGAGCATCTGCGTTGATGCTTGGAACGAAGAAGGCGGGCTCCTGCAAATCTATCTCACGCAGTGCAGAGTTGTCTGCGCATGGCAGGGGATGCCGACGGAGTTTCGAGAAAACCCTGCTGTTTGCGCGGTTTGGAGAGAGGCAATGCTGTGTTGGAGGGGGCCAGACTGCTGCCTTGCTCTCAAAGAGACGCAATTGACGCCCAGGCTCTGTTGGCAGGTGCCAGCTTGGAGCTGTCCTCTGCGCAGCTTCATGGCGAATTATCTGGTTCAACCTTCTTTCCAGCTGTCAACCGTGTTTAGCGCACGTTGGGCTGCTGCGCTCACTCAGGTCCTTCAGCAGCATCCCAAGCATGTGCAGCAACGAAAGCTGAGCTGCCCAGATCTTCACTTTGGGTCTCACTGCCATCCACTTTGACATCACGCTCAGCTCAAGAGATCGGCTTTCAAAAGTGAGGGCTCGCCCAGGACGTTAGGCTCAAAGCAGCGTGTCTGTAGCTTGGGTGATTGTAGGCAAATGCACCAAAGAGACGCTGCATGTCTGCCGGAAAAAATCATGGCTACCGCGCTCGGCAAGCTACGAAGACGTCATGATGATGGCAATGATGGGACGGTCATGAACTTGCAGGCAGTGGAAGACATACGCCGCTAAGTCCACTGCAAGCTTGGACAGGTGCTGGTCATGGTCTCATGACTATAGCAGCCATTGCACAAACCTATCTTTGTAGAACAGCTCGCGTGTGGGCTAGCTTTGCCAGCTGGACTGAGCTGAGCGTAAAAAGATGAGTCGGTCTGCAGCCAGGCGTGCTCTCCTCAAAGATGAACACGGACAGCCGCGGGTAAGGCATGCCAAGCTGGCCAGTTTGGAACTTGCATGATAACTGCAATCAATGCGTGACTCAAGGCCTCCATGTCATGTGCCATCATGGAATCATATGCCTATGCGCCGATGCCAGGTTCGCATATCTGGATCACGGCAGCAGGCGGATCTGGCAGACTGGCGAGGCTAGGTGTGCCGAGATACTTAGATGGAAGCCAGAAGCTAGAAGCGCTCCAACAATGTAAAACCCAGATGCAAGGGCACTGGTAGACTGGCCAGAGAGACAAAGATGTTAGGAGCAGGAGGAAACTGGGCAGGCCAGTGACAGGTTCTAAATAGAAGCACCTGTAGACACAGGCCACGACTCAAGTCCTGGCTGGCATTAAGTTGCTGGTTGATAAGTCTTGGAAAGCTTTACCTGCCTGATGGCGGGGACAGGCACGAGAAAGCAATCCAAGTCCAGAGTTGCCCGTGAACGATGCGTGTGGTGAATGGCCGTGTATGGCGGTGTCGAGAGATTCGACAGGTCGCGTGCGAGCTCGAATTGTTTACGATGATGGGGAGCCGTTCTCCTGACCTGTGTTGCAAGCGACATGCCGGCCGGAGCGTTAAGGTGTTTAGCTGCATCTGCCACTGCCGCAGGAAGGAAATTCATGTCATCAATCTTGAGGGCAAGCAGGCATGAAGTGGTGCAAGCTGCAAGAAGCTTTTGAATTTACGATTTCGCAGAAGCAGTAGCAACAGAATTGTGTCGTACAATCATCACTGGAGGAGACTTACACGCAACAAGCTTTCGGCTTCGAGGCGGTAACAATCTGGAAGGACTCAGAAGCTGCGAGCCCTGCAGTCAGGTATGTGAGTCGATGAAGGATCAGTTCCAGTATGTCAGGCTGTGACGTTTAGTTAACGGAGGGCTGACTTTGAGCCCTCCCACTTCCCTGTTTCCTGTGTGCTACAGGCAGCAGTGCCTCTTGCTCCTGACAGACTTGTCTTCTTCAAGTCAGCGAGCAAGTGCAAAGCAGAGTTTGCAGGAGCGGCTGGCACTATCCATCCAGATGTTATTCGTAGCTTAGCAGCTGAGCAGTCTCTGAAAGGAGCTGTGCAAGGTGTTCCCAAAGCTGGACGGGCTCTAAGAATGTCTAAGGCCCCCAGCTATAATGCGCATTCATCCTGTGTGCCGAAGGAGGTGCTGTTCCAACGAGAACTGCAAGAGGCCCGCCTTCAGTGCTTTCCGTAAGTTTGCTCATGATGTACGACTTCGGCCGTCTGTGCCAGGGCAGGCAGCTGGTTGCTTGTGCAGAGGCAAAGCTGTTCCACTAGACTCGGCCATGAGAAGTTTCTTGTTCGTATGTCAGGACCTTGAGGAGATGAGCTTCGAACCGCTTTTAGCCCACTTAGAGATGCGAATGGGAGACTTGCTATGAAACGCTCTGTGCTCAAAACGACCGACGGTACTATACACCATATAGTTGAGTTCACCGACCTCCTCCAAGCATAAGGCAGCGGCATCTTCGCTTGCGACCTCATACAGGTGGCCAGCAGGCATCGAGGCCACCCGCCAGTCCATCCGTGAACGCGACGGCGTGCAGCACCTTGCGCAAGCCTGGCATGTCCGCTGGTGCCCAGCCTGGCTTTGGCAAGGTCGGGCAAGCAAGCGCCGTGAAACGTGTTGCAGCAACCTGGGACAAGAAGCCGACGACCAGCATGCGCGAATGCTGCAGCTGGTACGCTTTGCGTTCTTGCCTAATGGGCTTGTCCAAGGTTCGCTTTCAAGTACCTGATAACACAACTGCAGCTCTTAGCGACTGACGCTTCGGGTGGATTTCGAATCTGCCGAATGCGACAGTGTGAAAGACGAAGCTACTCGCACGTTTCGGATGTTCTTCGTGCCATCATCATCCCCGACAAAGGCCCGTGCAAACTAGGGCTTTGGATGAAATCCAGACGTTGTGCACTCCAAGTGTGAACCGGGTTGCCGGGCGTCAACCGGGGATGCGCATCAAAGAAATATTTAGGATCAAAAAGAAATGTATTTGGGATCAAAACAATTATTCGGGATCAACAAAAATAACCCAGCGATCCTCGTAACTGTCGTCGCTTTTGGACTCTCGGCTCCCACTAGAGCTTGAAAAGTGTCAACAGTCACAGGGATCGTGGGGGTCGGGGTCGGGATTCTCGTAACTATCGGATCCTCGGAACTTTCGTCCCTTTTGGACCCGTGGTTGTATTTTGATGTTATCACTATCATTCTTACTGACACCATTCCTATGGCGATGTTTTGTATTACTGTGTTATGAACAATACTGTGGGTCATTCCCACATTGCAGTAACGGTTCTTAAAAGGATTCGATTAAGAGACGATTACGGAGAAGGGCTGGAGGGAAGCAAGCTGTTAGCAAGTGGGGGGCGTTGCGCCCCCCCCCCCCCCAACCTCCCCATCATGTTCATAATTATATTTTCTCTATCGACTCTATCATTGTCATGGGTTTTCGTCATATCATTTTCCATCATTTCATGATTTTCATACACTCCCTGATTTTTCATGATTTGTCATGAGTTTTCATCAGTTTTCGCGAATGTTCGTGAGTTTTCATCTTTGTCATGATTTTTCTGACACTATTTCCCATCATTCTCATCATTCAGTTGACTTACTGCCTTCCTTCTGTTGGCTGCTTGGGATTTTTGTCTTTTTGCTTTTTGGCTTCTTAGTTTCTTGCTTTTCTGGTTTCTTCGATTTTTTGCTTGCAAATTGGAGAGGGCTGCGCCCCTTAATGCCATCCATACACATTTTTATCATAAGTTCTATTGTTTTCGTAATGTTTCATCATTTTTCAACATAATTTTTCATAGTTTTCAGTATCATGACTTTTCATTAGTTGTCATGATTTTCCTCATTTTCATGATTTTGCAATGCTTTATCATGTTCATTGTTTTCTATCATTTCGCATGATCTTCATTTTCATGATTTTATGTTTTTTTTCTGTCAATTCATGATGTTCGATCATTTGGCATGATTTTTCATCATTTGCCATCATTTTCAATATTTTTCGTGATGTTTTACTATAATCTTTCATGGGCTTTCATTATTTTAGTGATTGTTCATCATATTTCATTGTTTTTCAGCATTTCCATGATTCTTCATGATTTGTTTAATCACTTTTCATGATGTCCTTGATTTTCATGTTTTTCGTCATTTTGCATCATTTGTCATCATTGTTCATCATTTTTCATCATTTTGACGATGTTTCACGATTTTTGTAAGTTATCGATCATTTTCATTCGTTTTCATTTTTTCCTCAGTTGTTTCATCATTTTCAAAATTTTGATATATCATGATTTTTCATCCATTTCCATCGCTTTTCATCATTTTCATATTTTTCTTCACTTCCATCATTTTCAACATGTTTCATCATTTTTCATCAGTTTCATCATTTTCCAAGAGTAGCAGACGCTGTTATTGTCCGCGTTCCAGAGATTATTTTTTGGGATCTCCGGAATGCTGCCCAGTGGTGCCAGTAGCATTAGTTTCGGAGATTTCATTTTTTTTGATGCTGACGATTTTTCTTGATGCGCGGATTAATATTTTTGATGAATGGGAATAAGTGTCTTTTGATGCCAAATAAATTTGCTTTTGATCCCCCACCCCGTCAACAGCAGTTGAACACGTGATGGGGGACGTAATGTCGAGACATGTCGAAACAGTTGAGCTACTTCTGCGAAGAGGTTGCTAAAATGGAGCCTGTCACCGCGTGTCGCGTGGAGCCGGGACTGATGTCAAAGCACGTCCATTTACGACGCACGCTCGGCATCTCAAAAAGATAAAACGCAGCGCTCATGTTCGACTGGTGGAAGGTCACCTGCTCATTTGTCCCACCACCATGGTCACGAATAAACCAGGCACAATGTCCATTGTCCATTACATCGTTATGCGGGATGAGCCTTATGATGGTTCTCAGCACACAACTCCCATCCGACAGAGACTGAGACTTTCCACCCCCAACCATGTTGTAAATGAGCGGAGAATTGCCCCCCCGTATCCCACCGTCGCAACCTGAGACTAAGGTATCCACTCACACGCGCCTCGGGACACTAAGAGGTCGGCAACCTTAAGCAGCTCATCCTTGGGGACATGGATTCTTGCTTTCTTCGTGGCGCCCCCCTCATCCCAACATGGACGGAGAAGCCAGCCGAGACCCAATCTAGAACGGCAATTCTACCCGCCCACGCCCAGCCAGGGGGGTCACTGAGTGTCTAGACAGCGACATCAGAACCAGTGCGAAAAGATTTAATGCTGCGAGAGTGCCAAAGTCGGTATCACGTGCGATGCGTATCGATGCGAGGTTCGTGTCTGTGGTCAGCCGACAGAAGAGCTTGCACAAATCATCTCGTTTTTCTTGGCTTACCGGCGAACACTTGGGCTTTGGTATGCTTTGGTGACGGGGTGAAGGCTGACAACACAGCAGCACAGAGCACCGCACCAGCACGGAGCATTACAACAGCACTGCAGCACACAGCAGCACAGAGCAACGCACGAGCACAGAGTGGTACAGAAGC